GGACATTTGTTGAAAACTTCATTTAGTTGGGGAATTGAAATACACACTGATGATACCTGTCACAATCTAATGAAAATTCGACTTGTAAACAGAGTTATGGCCCATGCTTCATTAGTCTTTCTTAGTGCAAACTGCATGAAACGGGGTAAACGTTATCTCACATTATTGAAGCTGATAGATTTAACACGCTTGTTGCTTCTGGTCATAATCTAAATTTGATGTCTTATATTATATTTTATTCCAGAGTAATGGTCCTTGCTCCAATATGTGTAAGCGATTGCATACGGGGAACAAGCTTTCCAAAAGCTACATACATTTGAGAACTCAGATTCACTGACTGATGTTACTGGTCACAAAATGAAATAGGTTCGTTAATTGTTGTCGTCAACTGTTGTTTTCGTTATGATAACTTTGCTCCATGTTTGCAATGAGACACGTTAGGTTGAACATCTGAAATTAAGCAAATTGGTCATAATCGGTTTGTGTGTCTTAACTTAATATTTTTATAGAGTTATGTTCTTCTTCCATGCTTTTCAACTTAGTTAAAACTGCGCTAAATGGGAACTAGTTTTCTCAGAAACTGTCCAAGTTACCGGCGCCATCAATTATTTTCGCTTCCTTTGATCTGTTTTTCGTATCATAAACAGTTATTTATACCCCTTGGTAGATGTCATTCTTCTCAATGCACACAACAGGGTTTCTAAAACAACTACTGAATTTACCAACGACTGAGGTCGAAAATGAAAAGGGGCCTTTTGTGTGTGTATATTTCACATTAAATCATTTTTCTTTGAGTACATCAGCGATTCTAAAAAATAAAATTAATTATGTCATCTTAAAATTAAGGCTTTATCTGTGTCTATTTATTGTTTGATTTACCAATAGCTACTATAAGCCCCGTGGCATTGAAGAGTGATAACGCTGTTTTCCTGTTTAACTTGAAAAGGTTACTAGAATTGGGTACATTGTTCTATTTAATATTTTGAGTTGTTGAATAGATCTGGATAAGAGTGTTCTAAATAGCTAATTGTTTAAGTTAGCAACTGAGATTGTTAGTGGCAGTATCCTCACAGGGTTGAAGTAGTGTAAACTTATTGTCCTCCTGAGTGAAGTCCCAAACATTCACAGTAAATTTAAGCTTGCCGATTTTGTACAACGTAGTATATTTGTGTTTTTATATGATGGCTGAAATTGACTACAATTATCCAGCGACTGAAGGGATCATATAGATCTAAGTCACCTTGGTCCCTAGTATGGTGATTTACCATCATTTGCTGGCAATGTACAGCCCGTTTTTATATTGTATAACTCTGTTGAGCAAACCGGTTTTAGAAATAGATGCTAGTTTTAGTTTTGTTGGTGGTGATATTCTAGTTGGTTTTACTGTCCTTTGTCGACAGTGCTATTATTGGATATGTATGGACCAAAGTGCAAGTGCTAGGCAAGGATGTACAATAAGGGTGTAAATCCTTTCTTATTTCATTTCTTATTGAACAAAGAGGACAACCAGTGGCAAGTTACAATTACACCTACATGTTATGGCTATTATTTGCTGATGGCTTTGTTTTGTATTCAAGTACTTTATTTAGATTATAAGACATAAATGAGTGAAACCATTTTGTGCGAAATTGGGCTGAAATGTTAACCCTACAATGATTAAAGTAGTTGTGAGAAAAATGAGAGTTTGTGTTGTCAAATCAGGGCCATGGATGAATTTACAAGTTGTTAAGAAATGAAAATGTACTCCTGTCATCTCTTTATGTCACCTTTATATTTTCTTGTAAAACACGCCGAAACACAAGATCATATCTACGTTTTGGGATACTAAAGAACCTCAGGTTAACTGAAAGTGTAAATTTTAAATTGTTCTTACAAACACTTTGACAAGAACTGAGGAATGTGGTTTATACTAGTTAGGCATTTACCGTAGAGTATATTTATGTACATGTGGAAGAGCACTTGCTGACAAATACGTCAAGTGCAGATGTAAGTTTTGGACAACTGGTAATCTAGACCACGGACTTTGTGTACCAACATGTGGTACATTCGGTCACTTTCTAAATGGTATTGTGTACTCATAGCTTTTGCATGTGGGCGCCATGCCAATTTACACTTACATCAGAGGGCGTACAGTCCGTGGTCTAGACTACCAGTTGTCCGATTTCCATTTTGTGGAAACCACGGTGGCTGAGTGGGTTAGACGGCTGACTTTGCGTGCTGGCGATTAGCCACCTGACTCTCACAGTGTGAGTTCGAATCCCGAATAGGACTCAACCCAACGAAATTACTAGAATCTGTACTTTACTGAGAAAGTGTAAGCCCACATATAGCATGTGTTACATCTGACCACATTTAAAATGGTTTGTGTATTCTTAAAACATGGTGTGTGTAAAATAAAGTAAGAGTCATCTCCTGTGCACGTCTTACCCCTTCTCAGGCACATTTTGCAATTAATACAGTTTCTTTAATGAAAGTTATTCATGATTTGTAATTTGATATTATTACATAAAATTCAAATGGTTTGGGGAAACACACCTACTTTTGCTAAATTTACCATGTCCATATTAAGCATAAACACAGTATCAGGCTTTGACTGGATATCTCCATTAACTCGCCTTAAACCCCATACCTTTATCGCAATGTCCTTGCAACTGTACGTCGTATCTTATTCAAGTCGCAGTCACCCTGTTTGGATGTCTGTAGTTAACACCCTTACCAGAATAGTTCTATTGCTCACCACTTTTGCAGTGCACCTATGCCATTCAGACAGTTGGCAAAGAATTAAGGAATTCAACTAACACAGTTTATTGTTTTAGATTCCAGCAACTGACCTTACTGGAACAGAGAAATGTTGAAATAGAAACGAAACGGAAAAATAGCATTAGCCTTGTTACCCTTATCATTGATATGTTTCCAAGTAATCTGGATATATGGTTACAGAATGTGATATTTAATCAAATGATCCAGTTATTAGCCACTTGGAGCATCTATTCACGCAACAGCGATGCGTGGACATTAGTGTTCTAATCTGTGTTAGGACAACCAATCCTTTGTTTGTGCGGTGACCCTCGCCTCCGTGGTGTAGTGGTTAGAGCGTCCGCCCGGAGAGCGGAAGGTCGGGGGTTCAATCCCCGACCGCGTCATACCAAAAGAGGTTAAAATATGGTACTTGTTGGTCCCTGCCTGGCGCTCGGCATTAATGGTTACAAAGACTAGTCGGCTCGGAGTCAGTATAATGTGTCTGAGTGGGGTATTCATGCTTCACTGCGGCATGGTATCTCAGTGGGCTAGCACTATAAAACCAGCTTAAGTCTGGGCTAGTACAAGCAGCCGCACATACACATACACGCATGCACGTCGTCACATGAGCGCAATATTCTCAAGCACGACGTTAAACCCAATTTCACTTCACCTCACCTTGTGCGGTGACCAGTTTGTTCTACAATAATCACCCTTAAATGTAATACTGTAGTCTACCAATTGATATACACGTATGGAGGATCATATTTCTTAATTTAACCAAAGATTCAATGCGTTTTTATGTTTCTATGTTCTTGAAAACACACCTAGCAATACAATAAGGATTTGCAGAAACCTAAAAGGAATTTAAGGTTAAGATGAGTACCATTTTGACACTGAGTGGTTCTTCACGACAAAACATGGCCATGGCACTTTCTCGTGTGACACAGGGTTATAAGAGCACATGGTTAGCTGTACCCGGAGTAGTTATGCTGTACCAGAAACGTTATATGTACGTGAACATACCCCGACAGATGAGTCCAACTTTTTAGCCCGAAATGACGATGGTCGGGTAAATGTCTAGATACATCTAAAAGAACAATATGCTACTAATTAGGTGCGGTGGGCGAGCTGGCTAAGGGGCCAGGTTAGTGATCCAGCGAGGTTGAGGTGTCGGGCTCGAGCTCACCTGTGACCGGGTGAAAACACCTTGGAGTCAACTTTGTGTGCAGACTCTTTCAATGTTGTCACAACCCCGAGTGTACAGTACACAACCCTGTGCACTGAAAAGAACCAACGAATCCGTTGGTATTTGACAAGATGGTGGCCCCACGAATACGTGCAAACACTTAGTTGCTGGTACAGCAACGTGCAGTGAACTTGGACAAAGTACTGTAACTATGTGTCCCAGTCCACCCAGCCGTGAATGGGTACCTCGTTAGGATGAAAAAGCCACAATAACGCGGTGCGCCTAATGGCTTTAAGAGTTGCATACTCCCCAGGGAGTTGAGATTGATAACACGATGTGCCGTTGAGATTGATATCCAATGGTCGAGGGAAAAAATACCAGGGCCATGAGCAAGCACAAGTTGTCTGGATATGTGCATTATATAAATATAGTATAATAATAATATAATTGTGTGCAACTGATTGATGTATTTGGTTGTGGATGACCATGACAGTCACATCGTCCCATTCATTAACGCTCAAGGTGGGCCTCTTATTACACATGTCTGCCGGGCCATTCTACATGAAACACCGTCATGGTATCAGCAAGGTCTACTCGCTCACGTGAATGGCTCCGATTGCTAGCTCTTCAGAAAGAGTAACAAAACAATCCTCAAGGTGCTGTTTTTTCTCAGTGCGGTTTCTTTTGTGTCAGTGGGACGCCGCCATAAGGAAATCATTATATTTGTTGCTAAGCAATAAATAGTAAGATATTGGATCTCCACAGAAGACATTTACTTGGAGAATACCACAACACTTCAACCGCTATACTTCGTCAATAGCTATACTTCAGCTCTTAATTTCAACTATGGCAAGGAAAGGTAAGGTCATTTTATTCACACTTATAACCTGGTGTCATCACTGATTTCAAATGATCCATTTATATACGTTTTTACTTTTACATTTCCGCTTCAAGGTAACGGGGTGTGGAATCTCTTTTGAAAGACTAATCGAAACGGTGTTTGTGATGTATATCTATGTTCAAAGTCAGCTATAACTGATTGAACACAAGTATGACAAAGTCACCTATTTCAAGTTGATATTTTATTGACAGAGCTGACACAGTGTTGTAAGGTCATAGGAATCCTCAGTTCAATATTCTCTCCATCTCCGAAGTCGCACTTCATTCAGCTCAGAGCAGTTGTCCACCTAGTTACTGATAATAAAACCAATCATTATTAGACAAGTTTTAAAATGGAATCACATTTCTTGCTATATACAAATTCCATACAATCACATTCGTTTCTTTTTTTTTTATTTAATGTTCATTTTTCAACAAAAAACGAGAAATATGTTCAACAAAATTATGTATTCTAAGTGTGAAAAATAATCTTACTATTAGGCCAGTAACGTAGATAAAAAGCGATAGTGTAGTTGAAATATACAACTGTTAATTGAATTCATTTCTGTACATCTCTACCTAATATCATGTGACAAGTATATATTAATTTAGCATACTTAGTTCCCACGTTAGCGTTGATGAAGGCCTGACGCTGGATAGTGCTGATATTGTCGGCATTGTTACAGATGATGCGAGCTAAAGACGCCCTTTTTAACTGCGTTATTTGATCTATATTTAAACAAAAAAATGTAATGAAAATTGATGTAAACTTTAAATATTCATGTAGCAAGTAGCATCGCTAACAGATAGTCAACGAGGGAAGCACAACCTGAGAGTATCAGCTGAGTTATTTGATCTACACTCAAACAAAAAATGTTGCAAAGGCATATCAACATTGTTATTCAATACAAAAAGACACATCTCTAAGCAAATGACTGCTTTCTTAGCTGTGTTAGTTGAAGTGATTTGGTAACTACCACGAAGGAGGTACAATTATATACCGGACGTGAAGCCAGTGTCGGAGTCTGTAGATTCAAACCAGAACCTGTCCCCATCCCTCAGTTTCTTGAATTGTTCTCCGGTCAGACAGATGTAAGTAATTCCTACTGCTGCTCCCGAAAAAGGAGCTTCAGCAATACCTCCACTGTACAGGTCAATGTCATCGACGCTAGCGCTGAAAAAGAATCGTCTCATTACGTGGGTCGTAAGCTCTAAAGAAGAGGTCCTTCACAAAATGCTTTTGGAACTAATATGGTGAGAACATGTTCACCACTGACCGACCCATCAAACAACATTGAATGAACATTGATAACATAGTGTATTTCCAAACGAAATTAGACTGATCAAATTTGCAAAGTAACGTCTGTGAAGACAAAAACACTTACTACATGTCTCGAAGATCGCGAGCTTGAATACGCCCGAACTCAGTACCAGTCACGAAGGAGGTGATTCTGCCGAGACCTCAGTAGTCTCTCCAGTAGTTGTAGGGAGGAAGACCATTTTCCCTTCCACGCTGAATGTTCAGAGCCACGATGTCAAACCCGCCCTTTGTGGCTTAATCTTCCTCAAACATCCTCTGCCTCATGCCATCGACATACCACGCATCAGCTCGTTCACCAGGAGCGTCCAGTAAACTACTGATAACGTTATCCAGGCTATTGATGACATATTTAGTCCTCTTGAACAGGTCACCAGTGTCCACGACATCACCTCCTTTCGTTAGGTTTTCTGGCAACCTGGAATGACCAAATCGAAAAGCACATTGTGTACCATCATCACTGTACAAAACTTGCTCAAATTACACATTCTTCAGTTGCAAAAGAAGAGAATATTGTTTTCTGGTAACGACCTGCTTTGAAACAGCAGTTGCTTGAATCTGACGCATCAAGAAAGCAATCATCGGAATCTCCTTGTGGCAGGAGATTGTTTGTTCCCACTTTCAGCATCCCAGCTGGAAAACGATTGAATGACGAATTACGACTATCATACTTAATTATGGTTAGGTTATGCATTACCAATATAAACGATATGATGACTTGATAATTAAAAGGGAAATAAAATTTTATGCATGTGCCATATCATGTTCAAGTATTTACATACAATATAAGGATATATATACAATGTTATGATGAAATCAGAACTTGCAACACACCTCTAGAATAAGTGTCTCTGAGCTCGTTCATTTCGGCGTTTACTGTTTTGTTTACTGTGTAAGATTATTTGTATGAGGCTTAACCCATTTTCTTCAGTTTGAATGTATCCAAAACCACTTTTAATCAATTCAGTTCAGAGAAAGGTTGTCTTTGATCAAATATCATGTACGTATTGAGTTTGAAGCTTCGTCAGATATTGCAAAAGAAAGAGCTTAAAATGTCCTTACTTGAGGAATCTGTGCCTGTTCCGGAAACAGCCTCCGATCTCACCAGATTCATACATTTACCATCGCCAAAGTAGAAATCACCATCAGGAAGGTTGATTGGGAAACAGGGAGAATCAGGGCTGATGAAAGGAACGTTACAAGTACATTAATTCAAAGTCCCTTTCTGAATTTTGTTCTCCCGAGGGGGTACGTAAATCCAAGAACGTTCTAAGTAAATTAAGATATACCAGGTTTTTAATCGTAGGATATTTGTGTGTTAAGTGATGGCTAAGTTTAATCACAATCGCCAACATCTGAAGGAACGGTGTAAATCAAGTTATAATTATAGATTCCATCCAGGTAGCAAAAGTACTGTAAATCCCCTAGTTTCTGGCGATCTATAGCCTGTTCCTGTATTGTGTATTGTCCGAGTTGTGCTATTATCTGTGCTATTATTGAATGCTAGTTATAAATCCAACTGTGATACTTAAGTTTTGCTGTCCTTTGACGGCAGGTTTTATAGTATGCATTAATTCCTTATCAATGTCAAATTGGTTCTCGTCAAGATATGGCGGAAACATTTAAAGTAGACTTCAGTCAAGAGGATCGAACTAAGGAAACAATTTCACATATACGAAATGTTGGGAAATAAAAAGACAAATGTCAGTACTACGAAAAAGAACAAAGGTTAAAAAACATGATATGCAAGAATATTAAAACTTGAATAGTTTGCAGGGGTCGCACATCGTTTGTCGATACCATGTTCCTAGGGTGTAATTTCCTATTTCGACACGTTGGTCGATTAACCTCTGTGGATCATTATTTCTGTCAATCCTATTGATACTACATTCAACGAATTGTGATTTACTTCCTTTCTTGGTTCCACTTGTTCGGAACAAGTCATGTGTCAGCTACAACACATCTACGGGCTATTTGCCAATACTTTCAAAGCTGAAATATCAGGGAACGTTAGTGAGTAAGCATTATAGAAACTGGGGTAACTGTCAACTTGAGACCGCAACACCAATTTGGCGATGGGCAGTTATGATCGAGGGTGGCCTCACCATGACAGAGACAACCCCATTACGTAATGTGCAAGGAAGGGCCATTAGAGGGACTATCGGGACAACATTCGGAAAGGTTTTCTCGTCATATTAGCAAGGAATGGACCGTGTGTTAGCCTAATTCACAATCACTGGCCACGGTTTAGTTGGTTTACCGAAGCCAGGCAATGGAAAAGTAGTGGGACAGACTCCTTCAAATCGCCATTAGTAGACTATCAAGCGCAATAGCTCATATCTACCCTTTCACAAAATGTGGCGGTAATACGCACTGCTGATTAAAAATATTGTCATCTTATCCTAAACGTTCTTCAAGACTGTTGGCGGTCATAACTTCAGTTGTAGTATGTCACTGCTGGTTGCATTATGTTCCAACTTTATTAATTATCGTCATAAAAATTGACTCTAATGTTTGTTCTCAAACAATTTTAAGTTTGTTCTAAGCATCCACAACATCTTTGAAGAGAATACATACCTGTCAACACCGGAGTTCCTGTAATATCATGGTCAATAAACTGACCCCATTGCATCAACATGACGGAGTGTTTGATGGAGAGGAAACTCAGCTCAAACTGAACATGGTTGCTGATATTTCTTGGGTTAGGCAGGACTGAGCCATCAGAGCCCAGAGCTCTGGGGTTTCCACCAGTTCCTGTAAATATACAGCATAAATGTTTGTTCGTTTAGCAATACTCACTTCCTGAAACAGTATGAGTGAGTGAGTGAGTTTAGTTTCATGCCGCACTAAGCAATATTTCAGCCATATGGGGGCGGCCTGTAAATAGTCGAGTCTGGACCAGACAATCCAGTGATCAACAACATGAGCAGCGATCTGCGCAACTGGGATTCGATGACATGACTGTGTCAACCAAGCCAGCGAGCCTGACCACCCGATCCCGTTAGTCGCCTCTTACGACAAGCATGAAGGCTCATTCTAACCCGGACCTTCAAGGGTATGAAACAGTGTGAATCATAATACATACCTGCATGGACAATGCAGAGAACGATCAGTAGAGCTTGGACAAGGAGTGACTGCATGATGCTACCTTCAGGATGGCTAGAGCCAGTGTGATGGAATACTCAAGGCTTCACAATGGGTATGAATCTCATACAATCTGTTTCCATTTATTGAACATTATTAATTGTATTGCTGACACCTGGAACTTGAAGCAGATCCCAACAGGGGGGTGACAGTTAAGCGCGTTGACGATAAAACCCTGAATGGTAAATTGAACATTTAGATCTCGCATCGTCACATTTTGCAATGATGTATGTGATACGGTCCACACAATAATGCCATCGCTTGCAGTTAGAGATACGGATTTCACCCTTATCAATATTGTTAATCTTATTATCAATTTTATAGCCTGTCCATATACCAGAATGATAAAGCATAATTATCACTTTGCTGATTTAGGCAAGATAGGGCTCAGATTCGGGATATCAAGTTTTAAATAAGTCTATGCTAACTAAACATTTTGTTCTTTCTACGCTTTTTTATAGAACGCACTCTTGATGGTGTTAATGCACCAATTCGGGCACATGAGTTGCTCCCAATGCATGACTTACTGAGTTTAGTTTTACGCCGCTTTTAGCAATATTCCAGCAATACCACGGCGGGGGACACCAGAAAGCTCCCAATGCAATCTCATTATACATAATTTTACTTACCTATTCTGTTTTGTGAATACACAATGCAATTTAGATGTGGTCAAATGCAACATATGTTATATTTTGGATTAATGAAGCCGCGGTGGTTGAGTGGGTTAGGAGTCTGACTTTGTGTTCTGGCGATTAGGTGCCTGACTAGTACTCTGAGGGAGTGGGTTCGAATCCCGGTTGGGACTCAACGCAACAAAAGTACTAGAATCTGTACTTTACTAATAAAGTGTAATCCCAAACATAACATGTTGTATTCTGTTTTGGTCAGTAATGATTACTATTTTTACAACGTATTGGTATGATTACAACGTATTGGTATGAAATCAAATCATCTCAAAATCCTTTCATGGATTAGTTGGACGAGTATAAGGTTTTGTGCGTAAAATCTCTCATTGATGTAAATTATGTCTCCCCTCAAAGGTTCGGGAGACATATCGTTTTTGGTTGAGTTTCCGTCGGCGTCGCCATTCCTATAGTTTCCGTAACATAACTCTAAAACTATTTGACTCATCTTCACCACATTTGCTATACTGCCTCTCCATATTATGTAGATGTGCCTTTTGGGGGTTTGACCTTTCTTACAATTTTATTTTTTTCTGTTTCAATTATTTTGTTCTGTTGAGGTCTCAGCGTTGAATTAGGGGAAGGGGGAGACATCTGTTTTTACCAGTAAAAAACTTTCTAGCTGAGTTCTGTGATAGGGTAAATAAAACATTATTAGAGCGGTTCACGTTTTGTCAATTCACAATTTAGTTTTACGCCGCATTAAGCAATATTCTAGCTATATGGCGACGGTCTGCAAATATTTGAGTCTACACAATTGGGATACGATGACACGTGTCAACCAAGTCAGCAAGCCTGACCACCCGATCGCGTTAGTCGATTCTTTCGACAAGCATGGGTTACTGAATTCTACAATGGGTTACAATTCTGACTCGGATGTTCACGGGTCTTTTGTGACAACACTGAAAGAGTCTGCACACAAAGTTGACTCCAAGGTGTTTACACCCGGTCACAGGTGCTCTCGATCCCGACACCTCAACCTCGCTGGATCACTAGCCTGGCCCCTTATCCAGCTCGCCCATCGCACCCAATTAGTGGCATATTGTTCTTTTAGATGTATCTAGACATTTACCCGACCATCGTCATTTCGGGCTAAAAAGTTGGACTCATCTGTCGGGGTATGTTCACGTACATATAACGTTTCTGGTACAGCATAACTACTCCGGGTAGAGCTGACAATGTGCTCTTATAACCCTAGTGTTGGGCGTGTCCTCAATTTGGCGTTTGCCTGTGTCACACGAGAAAGTGCCATGGCCATGTTTTGTCGTGAAGAACCACTCAGTGTCAAAATGGTACCCATCTTAACCTTAAATTCATTTTAGGCTTCTGCCAA